TCTGAGCGAGGTAACCCAATCACAAAAAGACAAACATGGTATGTACTCACTCATATGTAGATTTTAAACATAGAGTAAGGGATTACCAGCCTACAAAATCCACACTGCCAGAGAAACTAGTAAACAAGGAAGACCCTAAAAGAGACAAACTTTGTCCCCGGAAGAAGGGGAAAGGGTCACCAACCCCTGAGCAAATTGAGAGCATGGGAAGAGGGGAGAGGAAGCTATGAGAGTGAGAAGGGAAGAAAAGGAAGGATGCAGAGGTCATGAGGAAGCAGAAAGGTTGAGTCAGGTGTAGATTAGAAGAAAGGACATATGACAGGTAGGATTTTAGTTGGGGGGGGGGGGGGGGGAAGAAGGGAGGGAGAAGGGAACTGGGAATGTCCTGTAATTCAATCTTGTTTGTAATTCAAATATATAAAAATAAAAAACTAAAACAAAACAAAACAAAAAAGATACTTCACACAGAAAGTCAGATCCTGGAATGTGCTCCTCCTAGCCCGATGCACATGACAGGAACACAACTGTGATCTCTCAGAGTTAATGGGATAGCAATTCAGAAAACAACACACCAATTTGAACTTGTGAGTCTTCAGACAAGGGGTTTCCCAGCCCTGGTGTCACAAAATGCTCCACCCGGGACTTTAGAAAGGTTGATGGTGTAGCCACAACCTGACTTGGGTTTGATGATTTGAGTTTTCCAGGCATAACAGGACTGCTGCACTCAGAATAGTTGTGACTGCACAATTTCCAACCAGCCAGTCAACATTCTAGCATGGAGCATGGAGGGGCTCACAGTCCCTGCCCTTAGCTGAGGAGCTATGCATAGTAGGTGGCTGCAAGGAGAGGGAGAACCAGATTTCATTGAGTGTGGCCCTTGGTAGGTCAACTATCAACAGGCAGGTGGTCCTATGCCTTATATAGGCAGTACAAACTGAACTCTTTGGGGTTTTGTATTTTTTAAGAAAATAAAAAGACAGCCGCACATGCCTTTAATCTCTAATCTCAGCACTCGGGAGGCAGAGGCAGGTGGATCTCTGTGAGTTCTAGGATAGCCTGGTCTACAGAGAGAGCCTCTCTCCAAAGATGAAAAATGAGGAAGAGACCAGAAATAGGGAAAGGAGAGTACGAAGTAGATCTGGGAGAAGTTAGGGAGAGGAGGAGAGTTGAGTCCGAGCGAAACACACCGTATGTATGAATACTCTCAGACTTTATAAAAATACATTTCAAAATAAACAAAAGCACACCATCTTTTTTTCAGGTGAATTTACATTTTCAAAACCATACCCCATCACTTTTCTCCCTATCTTTTCTTCCCCCAGTTGTTATAAAGGAAGCAACTGCATCTTCTTCCCCTGTAGTCTCTCTGTGTGTAGCCCTAGATTGTAAGGAGGACCCTCTGACGCTGAAGCCTCAGAGGGTCACTTGTGAGACACCAGCCAGGAAGCTCACACACACGAATTTGTAAGGAAAGAAGCAGAACCAGACATCTAATGAGAACAGAGATATTTGATGTGGATACTTCATAATTCCACTGTTCCTATATCATACTTTCAAGAGCGATTTAGCCTCACCTCAAACCTCTTATGTCCTTTGACGCACAGTGTTGATAGCACCTGGTGTATCCCAGGCTGGTCTCAAACTCCCTATGACACTGAACAACCTTGAACTTCCGGTCCTACCGCCTTCACCTACAGAGCACTGTGATTCCAGTAGTGCACCGCCAGGCCTTCTTGAGTGCTGGACAAACTGGCTATGGCATTCCCAGCCCCACTGGCTTCTAATGCTGGTGAAGCTGCCCCCATCCCTGTTGCCATTTACTTCATTTCCGTGCTCTAAAAGGCTCACCGGAGGCATAGCCTTGGGAGAAAGAGTCTTCTTGGATCACCTCAGTGCTAACTCATTTTCTGAAATCCTTACTCAGGAAAATAATCGTTTGAATTGAAGTTACATTCAGAAACAGACCAAAGATTTTAAGCCAAGTGCCCAACTTAGAGCAAAGGAAGAATGCTAGCCAACTAGTAAAATGAAGCCACTGTATTTTGTAATATCCCAGATCTCCTCAGCTCCAGCATTGTGCTCCTAAGAAATATTTATCAATGAAGAAGCATTGTCAAATGCCATTATAGAACCCTCCTTTCCACCCAATGCTGTTCTCTCCTCCCTGTTGCCCTGCCCTGCCCAGCACACACTCTGCCTGGGCCTCCCTAACCTAACTCAGAACTTATAGCTGGCCCCATTTAATGGCCTCTTTCCAGGGCTACAGCATGTCATCGTTACCATGTGCTGTTGTGGTGTGATCTGGCCACTCAGAGGTCAAGAGGATTGTCATCTTCTATAGTTCCATTCGGATCCCCCAGCTGTGGCCTGTCACGGCAGAAAAAAAGTGTGCTCTGGAAGAAAGAGGTAAGACGAACTCATCTTTGGCCATTTGTGTTTTCTGAGTCCTTCAAAGAGCAATGCTCCTTCACAAAGAGCAGCGCTCTTTCACACAAGAGCAGTAACCCTTCATTAAAATCAAGGCTACTCAGAGACAGAGGAAGATTGTCAAGGCTCAGTAACTGCCCTGGGTTTTGCTCCAAGGCAGGAAATAGCTTGGACGACCCAAAAAACAAAGTAGACTTCTCTCCAACAGCAAGCTCAGTCTGTGGTGGGAACAGTGTTGCATAGACCATGTGGATACATTAATGACCACCCCCAAATTAAAATGAAACATTTCTTCTATTCTTTAACCCTCCAGAATACCAAAGATTCTATATGTAATGCTATCTCCTATCTTTTCCCATCAGATCTGTGACTACCCCTCACCCTACACTGTCAGGGAAAGGGGGGGCTCCCCAGCCAACACCTTTCTGATGCCTGAAGAGCCCACTTTTTCCGGAGGAGATACTAAGTGGGTCACTTCCCTCTTCTGGCTCCGCTATAAATTCCCTGTGCGGACTTGTCCCCTATTCTATTTTCAAAATCAAATGGCCAGCTTAGTCCCCCCAGAGGCCTTGACTACATCCAGTTAAGGTCACGGTCAGGACTTGAAAGCGGTTCTCTCCCTCCTACCATACCCCATAGGCTCATTTTTTTTATCCATCCCTCCACCCTTCCTCCCCTTTCCTCCTTCCTCTCCTTTTTTCAATAGCTCTGTTTTGTAAAGGGCCTGGCCACACACAGAGAATATTACAGGAATAAAACCTGGAAAAGAGCACACAGTTATGAAACATTAAACCTCAACTTCTCTTTATTTCGCTCCCTGAATTTTCCTCCCCCTCCGAGAAAACATGAGCCTCTGCAGATTTGTGGTTCATGTTATCTTCAGCTGTAAAACCCAGCTGAACCAACAGAGCGCCCTTCTTGGCTTCCTGCTGTCCAGAGGTTTGCAAAGGAGCTACTGTAAGGCAATAGTCACCTCTGGCTTTCTGGACAACCTTTTGAAAGGAAACATTAAACTGCCACAAGCAGACAAAGAGCTCTATACATTGTCAAGCTCTGTCCTAATGAGATCTGTTAACGTCGGTCCTGTGCCTGTTTAAGAAGGTGGACAGGAACGTGAGAGGGCCGGTGCCTCCATGCTGCCTGAAGACTGCCTTTCAAAACAGAGTTAAAATAAAGTTCAAGGGTCCTTCTATCACTTCAATCACTCCAACCTAAGAAGCTCAGTGGGAATTTGGCCTGAGGATAGAATGCCACATCAGACATTGATTCAGTTAGCCAACCCTTTTCAAGGTGTCACCCATTAATTTATTGACTGCAAATAGGAATTTTGCCCAAGGCCAAGACTCACAATTGGTCCCAGTTGAGCTGAAATGGATTTCCACAAGTGGCTAGGGAAACAGAGGCTACCCTTCCAAGTGTTTCTTCTTCGGTCCACTCTTGCTTTCTTTATCCCCTCTCTGGCTTTGACCCATTAATAACTGAGCTCTCAAAGAGCTTCATTAGTTGGTGGCATGCAAAACGGCTGCTCAAATGTTTGCAAGCAGCTTGATCCTCAAGCTGCCAGTGTAGACACTGCATATCAGAGGTGGCTGTGGGAGCTGATTGGCTGCTTAATTTGGACATTACTCTCTCTCTCTCTCTCTTTTTTTTTCTCCTCTCTCATCTTATGAATTAAGCACCCAGTCAGTAAGAAGTGAGACAATATTCTTATGGAGTATTCTGTGTGTTAGTCTAGAAGTCTTGGTTTACATAAGCTTTCACATACACAAGTAATGCAAAAATTCTAATACAAAATGATTCCATTTTATACCTGAAGTGTCTATCTAGCATACAAACTACAAAACAGAGAAGGATTATTTAAATACAGTAATGATTTTCTGGATGTCATGTATAACAGAGAAGTCATGGTCAGTCTATGGAGCTGGGAAAAGGACTGATGTTTTGCAAAGATTACAGAGTAATTCTCCCTGGCTCTTCAACTCTGAGACAACTTATGAGATTCTCTTAGGCTTAGAGCTAAATTCAAATGGCTTTTGTATAACCTGGAGACCCAAAGGCTAGAAGGAATTATCTCTTAGAGAAAGGAATAGTTCCATAGGTGCAGGTGGAGGCCTATATGAGGATGGAGTTCGTGTTTACAATATCATGAAACAAGCAACCTAATGATAAATCATAGGACAATGACTATGGACACTGTGACCTATTTGCCTCAGGATGTTACATGTGGCTCAGAGGAATAGGAATGTATTCACACATAGCCTTAAAGTCGCAGCAATTTTAAAAAGACTGTCAGTGCTGGTGTTAACAGCACAGGAAAGCAATATTATACCGTTCTACCTGAGGGACTGTAAAGAAAGCAGTGGGCTTGGCTGGGGGTTTAGCTCAGCTGTAAAGAGTTTGAGTATCCTGCACAAGGCCTTGGATTCCATCCCTAAAAAGTAAGAAAGCTTGCTATGGTCAGCTGATAGATACAAAGTATCACCAGAGAGGCTGGAACAATTGCAGTAAGAAAAGGGCAAAGCAGGAGTTTAATCTTATCTGTAATAAAGACTCCTTTCTTGTTCATCTTTTTGTTTGTTTGAGACAGGGTTTCACAGTCCTCAGACTAGCCTAGAACTCACGGCAATCCTCCTGCCTTGACCTTCCACTTGTTGGGATTATCTGAGCCACCTGCCATCCAACCAGGTTTTCTTTTCTTCTTTCCTTCCTTCCTTCCTCCCTTCCTGCCTTTCTTTTTTCCTTCCTTCCTTCCTTCCCCCCTCCCTCCCTCCCTCCCTTCCTTCCTTCCTTCCTTCCTTCCTGCCTTCCTTCCTGCCTTTCTTCTTTCCTTCTTATGAAAAAAAATTCGTGTTGTTACTTACATAGTTCATGTATCAGTCCTTTCAAACAGTTAAATGGTGGCTGTAAAAGCCTTGATTTGGATCTAGAGAGATGGTTTTGTAATTAAGAATTTTTTACTGCTATTTATGAAGGTCCATAACTGGTTCCCAGAACCTACATGGCAGTTTATACCCAGGAGATCTGCCACCCTCAACACCCTCTTCTGGCCTCTGCAGGTACCAGGCACTCGTGTGATCCTACATAATGTAGGATGAACACTCATACATGTAACATAAAATAAATAAGTTTTTAAAACAAGATAAAAGTCTGATTTATCATATTGCTTTCTTTAGAAAAGGACTAATGTTGCCCTGAACACACTTTCTACAGGTTGCCACACTTTCTACAGGTTGTTTACTAGCAAAGAGCTGTCTAAGAGAACAATGGGAACAGAGGGCAAAAGCCTGGATTTGAACTAAATTTCATCCTGTAATAAAATATCCCCTCCCCTCCTCCTCACTCTTTCTTGGTTCCCTAACTGACCCTAAGAGACAGCCTTCTAGAACAGCAAAGCACCTGAGGAACCTTTACCTTGTAACAAAGCCCCAGACCTTAGCACAACTGACTCCATGATGCAAGTGCCACTCAAGCATTAAAACTCGGTATGCAGACAGCACCATCTGCCAAAACTGAAAACAAAAATCTAAGCTATCAAAGCTCATAGTTCTGGGAAAAGCTGTGAATGTTCTAACCTTGATATGTGGCTTCTATAGTTCTGCTTCTGGCTAACTGTTCTTGTAACTGAAGTATGTCAGCCCAGAACATGGTTTTTGTGCTTAAAATCTCACCCTGAAAAGGGCTCGGTGCTACACTGGGATCCTGAGCACCCAGTGTAGTCCCTGGCTGGCTAATAAAGACTTTCTATTGGCAGTCTTGTCTGGTGGATACCCCTCAACAACCTCATGCCTTCACTTTAAGGTTAGAGTTCTGGTTTAGACCCCATTGTTCCTGGGAGCTAGTTCAGTTCTCTGTGACCTTTTAAGGTCTTCTCTGAATCCCAGAACTTGGGAGGCAGAGGCAGGTGGATCTCTGTGTGTTCAAGGCCAGCCTGATCTACAGAGTGAGTTCCAAGACAGCGTCCAAAAAACAATACCGAGAAACCCCTGTGAGGTGGGGTGGGGGTGGCGGGGAGAGGGAGGGGAGTCTTCCCTGGCCAATGGGGCCAAACTCCTCCCGCTACTGACTTCAACAGAGGGAAGCAACTGCTTTTCCAGAACAGGTTATATCTGTTTTCTGGGGAAGTGGTCTCTTTAACTGCATTTCCCAGGATTTTCTCCTAGGGGAGTCAATTCCTCCAGAACTCTCTGTCTGCCTCCTCCTCTCTCCTCCCTCTCTCCTCCCCTCCCCCTTCTTACCTCCAAATCCTTCTCGTTTTTTCCATCACTCTGCACTTCCATTTCTTTCCAACTCCATTCTCTCCCTAGTCGGATTTTGTATCTGGAAAGATACAAAGTAAAATTTTGTGATGAAAAATTTCAGTAATACCTATAAATAATAATTTTTAAAACTCCAAGAGGTTAAAGCCAAAAGGTAGATTCACTTTTAATGAGTCTTTTCTTTTTAAACCTTGCTTTTATGTCGTTCCTTTTTATCTCTTCATCAAGGAAGCTGTATTCCATCAAGCCTCAGGGCATGATAAATAACTTACTAGGATGCTCGGCTGCACATTACTCTCCCACAGGATGAGTCAACACAGATTGGTATTATCTACATTCTTTAAATGGTTTCCTGCAGGGCTATCCCACCCCACTCCTTCCACACATCCCGAAAAGCACCAAAGATAAAATATTAAAAAAAAAAAATCTGATTGCTTTGTGAGAAATGACACCAGGAAAAGGTGTCAACACTCCAGGTGGCACAGAACCTGACAGAAGAGCAGCCCTTCTCTCTCCATGGCCAAAAAGAAAGGCCAGTACCCCAATGGACAACGAGAGAACTGCACAGAGCTGTCTGCCTGGCCAGCCTGTGTGAAGAAACATTTCTAACCAAGTGCTTTCCCGAAGAAGTGGAATTCCATAAAGGGACATGTCTCAGGTGCTGAATCCTTCCTTTGAACTTGAGCCTTTTGGCATTTTCATTTGCATCTGTTTAAACAGACACATGACCAGCATTTATCAGTCCAGCCCCCTGAGTGGGGCCTTTTCACTTCTGCACCATGAAAGGAAGCTCCGGTAGAAATATGATTTTTTTTTTAATACCTGACAGGCTGTGACCTGTAGAAATCTCTGGCAGAAACACAAAATCAATCAAGTTTCATTTGAACTATTCTTTGTCTCTCAGGAACCTTTGATAAATCTCAGATGAAAATTCTCCAGTACCTCCCAAGCTCAGGAGGGTAACTGAACGCTTTGATTTTTGACTTTGTCATGTAATTGGGGTGGTGATGTTATTGATCTGTTGCTCTCTGGTCCAGTGGATTTATTAATTTGCTTTTCTAGTCAACTAACTTGACAGGAATTTATTTACAAATGATTATAGTTACTGCGACTGGGCAGAGGCCACAGGGTAGCAAAGTCAATGGTTTTAACAATTTTTGCATGATCATAATAAATATGCAGTTAAGTTGGAGAAATTAGGAAAAGCATTAACCCCTTGTTGTTCTCCTCCTCCTCATCCTCCTCCTCCTCCTCCTTCTCCTCCTCCTCCTTCTAATTGAATTGCTGCAATTGGTTTCATTACTTGCAGGGCAAGGAAAAGGAGGTAGGATGAATCCACTCAGCACCTTCAGCAAGAGTGATCTTTCTAAATACAAATATCACCTGGCCTAACCCTGCCTAATGCCCTCACTGTGTGTGATATAAGACCAAGCACTCACTCCAATACCCAAGATCTCCCAAGCCCCTCACTAGTTAACTCTGCCATGTCAACTACTTGCAAGTAAGAGTTACCAGCTTCCCACTTGCTCTGTGGACTTTGAATATGGTAGCCTAACTTGGACTATTCGATCAGCAAGTCCCCATTGGCATTTTAGAACAGTAACTCTCTTCCTCTAGAATTATGAGGAGTTTGTGGTATTTCACCCACCATTTTCAATTTTTTTCTCTATCTTTGTCTTGAGAACAGGATTGTGCCTTGGGCACCAGAGGTGAACTGTTTTTATAATATATTCATAATGCATTCCACATTTTTTTCTCCATAGTATTTAGCCCTCTTTGGAATCAAGTTTGGGAGCACAACTATCCATTTATAGCAGTCAATATTTCCTTAATGAAATATATTGCAAAAACAAACATAGTAACCAGAAGTCACTCAGGACTAGCACTACATGCATGACGAAATGCACAGCTATTTTGTATGCCATTGAAAAATGGAGGGGCTAGAGAGATGGTTCAGGGGTTTAAGCACTTTCTGTTCTTGTAAAGGACTGAGCTCTATTCCCAGAGTCCACGTGGCTGCTCACATGCAGCTGTAACTTTAGTTCCAAGGGATCCAGTTGCCTTCTTATGGTCTCCTCAGGCACCAGGCACACACACATGCAAACAAACAATCATACACATAAATGTTTTCAAAACAAAATAAATCTTAAAAAGAGAAAGACAGAGAAAGGGAAAAATAGCCTCTGTTGTGTGGCCTTGTTGGAGGAAGTGTGTCACTGTGGCGGCAGAGAGGCCTGATATATGCTCAAGCTATACCTACTGTCTCAGTATGAGTCAAGATGGAAGAACTCCCAGCACCTCCTCTAGCACCACGTCTGCCTGCATGCTGCCTTGCTTCCCACCATGACAATAATGGACTAAACCTCTGAACTGTAAGTGAGCCACTACAATGAAATGCTTCCCTTTATAAGTGTTACTGTGGGTCTTGGTGTCTCTTGAGAGCAATAGAAAACAAACTAAGACAGCCTCCAAAGATGGCATGATGCTTAATAAAATCAAGGCACTATGTTTTGTTCTTAGATGTTTCTCTACTTGCTTTAAGCAAGAAATTTACCTACAGCCATTTAACATATTTCTCTTGTACATCCACACAAAGGAAAACATCCAAAGAAATTGGTTCAACTTCTTTTTCATCCAGACTCTAACACCGAGTTAGAATCACATTCGAGCAGCCAGCTACATCATCACCACCTGTGCCGCCAAAGTGTTGAGGGGACGGTATCTCTGCAAAGAGCTTCACTTTTAACACTGGGATTTTCTCCCAGACCACGGACATCGGCCATTTTGCAAACTGAGTGGTAGGATATTACCTACCGAACAGAATACTTAGACATCAGACAATGAATGACCCTGTTTGCAAGCCTATCTCAGATGGTCCTTAAGAGGTCAGCTGACAGGAATGTGAAGGCACTCATCATGCCAAGCAGGAAAAACAGCAACATCAGAGCAGCTTTTTGCTGACCGGAACTGTGAGCTGCCTCAATGTGGAAACATCATAATTTTAAAGTTCATAGGATATGAATAAATGTCTGGTATCAGATTGCAGAATCCTATACATACTTAATAAATCCCTGTGAATGAGGAAGATACATAGGTGAAAAGTACATAGGAAGATAGTTCTGGAAAGTATCCTCAAAGTACAGTTTTGTACTCAGCCAGGTGGTTAGTGCAGAGCTGTAATCTCAGCACTCGGAAGGGGAAAGCAGGGGGTAGAGGGTTCAAGGTCATCCTCTGCTACTACTGAGTCAGAGTCAGCCAGGGGGAGGAGCTGGAAGGGAGGGAGGGAGGGAGAGAGGAAAGGAGGGAGGAAGGAAGGATCATGCTTACAAGGTAGAGAGGACAGTGGATTTTACACAAGCAAAGGCCAACCTTCACTCATATCCATTGATGATAGAGTGATTCTCATTAAACCAGGTATGTGTGCTACTAAAAGTAACCAATTAAATCTGTGAGCCAGAGCTGTTCTCAGTTCTCTGCTAATGTCTGACTCCTTCTAGTCAGAGCCGTGGCCTGACAAGCTGCCTCCCACGCGCTCTCATATCATCTCAGTACAATCAGCCCAGCTACCTCATTCTCCCCAGGCACTTGAAATGTGGGCGGTTGGCACTGAGGAAGAACTGGGGGAAAGTGCCATGGCTAGTCTGACAGAAAGAAGGCTATTTCCTAAAGGGCAAAGGAGTAAAACATTCACCCACATAGGTCCCTGTGCCTTTCAAAGGAGGGTCTATGAGTTTTCTGCCAGTTTTAGAAGGGCAATTAGTTGTGGGGGACCTGGGAACGAGGTCTACCAGTAGCCAGTGTGTCAATGCACCCACCAATGAAATGGTCCCTGGACAATGGAGATGGTGGTATCCCATATGGAGAGGAGGATGCTTTGAGGTTTTGTCTGCTTTTGAAATATTAAAACATGCAGTTTTCCAGCTGATAGCATACACAAGCAAAAGCCCCAACTTAAGAATTAGCTTTCAGTTAATGGATGCATGCTTACTAATTGCATGAGCTTGGGACTCAGAACTGGACACTGGAAGGCATACTTGACTGTCGAAGGCCCAAGTGGAGATTAATCCCCTCTAACTCCAAAAAGGAACCATAAAATCCAGAGGGGAACAGAGTGTGGCATCTCAGTAGAATCACACCCTTGCCCATTTCTTTCCTCTCCCCAGGACTGGCATCTCACCAAGCACAGGGTAAAGGGCTCAGGGATCCCACAAAATATAGCACCTCTGAAAACTGTTCTTATTTCTTCAGAAAACAAAAGGGAAAATGGACCTTTTGGGTGGAGAATGTGTGTTAATATGCAACATTAAATGGCCATCATTCCAATGTGGACATGCAATTTTAGTTTTTTAGGGAAGAGGTGCTTAACACTTGGAAAGTCATCATAGCCCGGCCTGCAATATCGGATAAAATGAGATGACACTGCCAATAATCTACCACTTCAGGCCTACAGAATAGTATTAACCTCATGCCTATCTTAGGCCAATGATTCTCAACCTTCCTAATGCTATGGCCGTTTAATACAGTTCCTCATGATATGGTGACCCCAACCATAATATTATTTCATTGCTACTTCATAACTGTAATTTTGTTACTGTTTTTACTGGTAGTGCAAATGTCTGAAATACAACACTTGTGTGGGTCTCGACCCATAGGTTGAGAACCAGTGTGTGTGTGTGTGTGTGTGAGGGGCCGCTTTGCTAACTCACAGATCATCTCAAGCCACACCAGGGAGAAGTGTTTCCTCTTCTTCCTCTCCCATCTCCTTTCCCCTTCCCCTCTCTAATAGACTTGCTGACCAGTGATCCTCCCCAACTCCCCCTCTTCCCTGTCTCTCCTCTTCCCACTGTCCCCTTCCCCTACATTTTCCATAATTCCCAGGACCTTTCTTAAGGAAGCAGAGGGAAGTGAGCCATCGTCCATCCTCCAGGTCTCCGAAGGATCAGACCGGCCCAGCATGCACTAAGTGCCTTTCACCCTCAGTGCTACCTCTCTTTCTCTGCGATACAGATGGGTCCCAGAAGGAGAATTTGGAGCAGAGAATTCAACCCTGTCAGGGCAGGAGGCGGGGCCCAGGACTTCTTGAGTTCCCCGCATCTTTCCCTGATGAGGGAGGGCCTTCTGTATGCTGTGAATATGTTTCTCTTATTGGTTGATGAATAAAGCTGTTTTGGCCTATGGACAGGCAGGACTTAGCCAGGCAGGAAATATAGGCGGGGCTACCAGACTAGGAGAATTCTGGGAAGAAAGAAAAATGCAGAGAGTCGTAAGAGAGATGCTAGGTAGCC